TTCCTTTGCCACGGGATGGAAAACTGGACATTTGCCAGGTCAGGAGCAGTAGACTAATCTCCTGGAGCCTAGTGCACTTCCTTCACAGTTAAATATAGTGGGGGCTGCTGAGGACGGCACTAAGGGGGTACCACTTCATTCAGGCTGTGATCATCTATAGGCCGTTGTCCAGGTCCATCTGCATTCTGGGCTGGCGCCACCCACGGGGCTGTTGTATACAAACAGGGTGAGAATTAGTATCCCAACCTCTATCATCTCCTTCCCTCACACCCAGGTTATCCCTATATTTTCAAACTTCCTACTGCTTGGGGCTTTTGCAGGTCCCAGTGTTCCCACTTACATTCCAGGTTAATATCAGCTGAAAGGCTGTCTGCTCTCCCTTCTCACTTGGGATCATAGTGAGAAGCCTCATTGGTGCAAAGTCCTCTCTTCCAATTATGCACCCTGGGATGATTATTCCCAACACACTGGGACATCAGGGTGGAAGATTCTCCCTAACCTGGCCTTGTACGCCCAGAGCCCCACAGGTCCTTTAGCACAATGGCCAGGGCGATCTGTGGTCTCTTCTATCACCTGAGCCCAAATAAAGGACATTTCCCATCCCTTGCCATAGGACTTAGGCTTAGCACTTTTCCTTGGATTCTCTGCGGGAAGGGTCCTAGGAATGTCCCAGCCTGCGCCCCAGCCCTCGGGACCACCCAGCACTTTCTGTTCATTCTGTCAGATTGACTCATTTAACGAAAAAGGAAACCTATCCAAGTCCCCACTCAGGTCACTCGGCTTACCTCCTCCCCAGCCTCTTTTCACAGCTCCTCTCAAACACATTAAATCTGAATAAATTGGTACAGAGTTGCCTAGAGCATTTGAGAGGGACCCATCCATTTCCAGCTTCTCTCCTCGGCACCAGCAAGCCAGCATGATCACTGGTCCTGTACCAGTTTCCTGCTTCTCCTCTCCTGGCATCTATACCCTACAAGTGCTTATTCCTGTCCAATCAGCCTGTGCTGCCCTGGGTCCATTCTTGTCCCATTCCACCCCCTGGCTTTGTGCTCTCACCTGTCCCCTTTGCCTTGGCTGCAAATCCCAGGGTGGCTCAGCCCCGCTGTTCGCTCACGCCATTCACAGGATGTTGCCTTCCTGGACACGTTCACCTCACCCGGACCAGAAGGGCTGTATAATCACTGAGATAAAGGCATCTTGTTTCTGACCCATTCCGTTAGGGCCTTGATCACAGGCCTAATCCAGAGAATTTCAGAAGGAGTTTTTTACTTATCAGAGCAGAGAGGGGCCGGGCAGTTTTCTCTTATGGTAAATGTAATACAGTTGAGCCATAGCCTAGGTACAGGGCAGAAATCTAAGACTGGGTGTAGGTTCCAATTATCCAGATTGCTTATTAAACTAAACAGACCTCACCAATCACACAGTTCATTCAAAGGGTTCTGATGACATCACATTCCTAAGGGGCTACGTGAGTGAGAACTCAGTTCCTGGGGTACTTGGCAAAACAAGACCACAGACATCCACCAGGGGCCTGTTCCCTGTTTATACCTGAGCACTCTCCGAGTCCATGTGTTTCTAAGGACCCCAGTCCCGAACCTCTTTTTCCTCGCAAGCTACAGCAGGGATCAAAGAGAGGAGGATGTGGGCTTCCCTGGCGGCGCAGTGGTTGAGAGTACGCCTGCCGATGCAGGGGACACGGGTTCGTGCCCCCGGTCCGGGAAGATCCCACATGCCGCGGAGTGGCTGGGCCCATGAGCCATGGCCGCCGAGCCTGCGCGTCCGGAGCCTCTGCTCCGCAACGGGAGAGGCCACAACAGTGAGAGGCACGCGTACCGCAAAAAAAAAAAAACAAAAAAGAAGAGGATGGGAGTGGTTTGAGCTAGGGCAGGGTTTGAGAGGTGTTTAGGATACGATAAAATGAACAGGACTTGAGGGTTCATTCATTCATTCACTCATTCAATAAATACCATACTCTAGAGCTGGGGATAAGTCAGGGATCAAAACCACAGTGGTTTCTGTCCTTATCAGCATTATGGTCACAAGGAAGATGGATTTGACGTAGGAGTAAGGGGTTGGGGGAGGTCCACCAGGTCTCTATAGAGTTAACAGGGTGTCATTTCTAAGGCAAGAGATGTGGAGGGAGAGGAGATTGGGGCCAGGGGTATGTGTATCTGTCAGGGTTTGGTCAGGAAAACAGCACCCACAAGTCTTTTGGAAATAAAGGGTTTAGTATAGGAAATAGAACTGACGTGAATGTGGAGGAGTTGGGAAATTAAGATCTGGAAGAAGTGAGATGAAGGACTGGAGAACAGTCACTCACTACATCCCCAGAAGTTCCAGCTCAGGTGGGCAAGTCGAGGCATATGGGAAATTCCCAGGTGGCTGCTCAGTGAGATGAAGGGGGCGTTCCGGGAAGGGTCCGGGGAAGCACATCGGCAAGCCTGCGTCCAGGTCAGTAGAGGTGGCCATGGGCCCTCTGTTGTCGGCAGGGTGGCCAGTAAAGAAGGCGGATGCACACAGGGATGCTAGGACCAGCCAGCTCCTTCCAGGCACCTCTGCGTGTGTCTGTCCCCCGTGCCTGACCATCTGAGAGTAACGGCCTCTGCTTCACTTCCAGATCTCGTCTGTGTTTCCCTCTGGTCCAGCTTCATCCATGCACGGAAGGGAATCCTAGGGAAATAGTTCCCGCTGTGGATGGCAAAGTAGTGCCAAGATGCCGGCACGGAATCCCACGCAGGGCACTCATCCCGGAGTTGGTGCTGATATCTCAACATGCTCAGAGGCTTAGGAAGGGGCATCCCGAGTGGGTCTGGGAGGGATATGGGCTAGGGATTAAATTTAGGAGAGTTATCAGAAAGCGTGTAGATGTAAAACAGTCTAGGGAAGAGTGCAGCATGAGAAGGGAAGAAAGCCTGGACCAGAACCCCGAGGAGCTCCAGCATTTTAAGGTGGGGTCGGGGGAAGGTGCCAGCAAGGAAGATGCAAAAGGAGCGACCAGAGAGGGAGGAAGGAAACCAGAGAGCAAGCTGTGGAAGTCGAGGAAGTGGGTCACAGGCACATGCTGGGGGGATGGGGAGGGAGACCTCCAGGAAGAGAGAAGTGGGCTCAGGCTGTGGAAGCCACTGGTGAGCTTAGCTGATCCGATTACTGCGGGTGGGGACCCAAGTCGGCTTGAGTGAGTTGAGAGCGTTGGAGGTGAGGACGCAGAGGGTGGTGAGTGTGACCAGCTAGAAACGTTGAGCTGTGAAGTCGGGGGAGGGGGAGGGGAGCAGTTTCCTCTCCCCGGAAGGCAGAGAAGAGGCATTTTCAGTTAGACTTGGGGAGAACGCCTGCTTCCTAATGAAAGCAGAGGACGATCTGTTCACGCAGGCCTTCTAAAACCGTCTGCTGAGTTCCCCCTGCCGTGTCTCAGCGCTGTGCTGTGAGACGGTGCTCAGTAAATCACAGGTGATACACGTTCTGATCCCAGGAGCGCAAGGTCCCTCCAGGAGGGCAGCGAGGGTCTCTGCTGTGGGGCGTGGAGTGCACCCTCACGGAGGGAAGTGCCAGCTCACATGGGGGCCGACTTGCGGAGGGGCCTCGCAGCTGCAGGAGACCTCAACACGGGGTTTTGGAGAAGACCTAGTATGTCTCCAGGCAGAGGTGTATGGAAAGGGACAGAGGGGCAGGGCCTCAGCACTTTTCAGGGCGCGACGGTAAACACCCCTGGGTGCTGAGATGGGGCCATTTACACAAGGGCACCTGCCGTGCCAGATGGCTTAGGAAGAAGGGCCCAGCCCCACCCAAGGTCTCCCCGACTTCGCGTGGGTAAAAGCTCCTCGGCAGGACACAGCGCACAGGATGGAGGCAGCAGGCTTTGGACACCCCTGGAAGCATCCCATGTAGCTTAAAGGGATGAGAAAAGCTCCAATGTGTATGTCCTCTGGGGAAAGAAGAGGAGAGGAACAAAGATGAGGGGAGACGGACTGAGGAGAATAAATGTAAAAGCCAAAGGGGATTTGTTTGACTCTCACTAGGATTTACCTCGGCATATGTGCCCTGAGAGCCGAGCAGTCCTGGAAAGAAAAGCGGTGAATCACTTCTGATTGTTTTCACTCTGTATTCATTAAAGGCCTCTGCACTATTATTGTCGAGCCTTAATTGGCTCGGCTGCTGG